GCCCCAGGGGGTGATTTCTTGCTTTCTGTCTCTATATCTCTGTCTGTCTGTCTGTCTGGCCAGCGCACGCGCCCTATAGCGAAAACCTCTGCAAAAAAAGTAAAAAAAAAAAAAAAAAAACAGAAAATATTTTCTCACCCACAAGCCTGTGGAAATAGTGGTTGATTTTATTTACTTTATCATCTAATGCTTGGGTTAAAATAAATGAGAAAAGAAAAAGGGGTAGGATGCTGAATCGAGCAAGCAGAGAAAAAGGATAGATATGCTTGTGTGTGTTTTTGTGTGTTTAACATTTTGACAATACTTAGTTCATTAAGATTTAGCTACTTCAGCTGTTTAATATTTTTCCCCTTTCTCAATCTTTATGACATTTAGGCAAATGATCAATTTCTGTGAACACAGCTCAGATTCTGGCTGGAGTGGCTATGGTTATGCAGTGGCACTTTTTGCTGTAGTCTTTTTGCAAACTCTGATCCTTCAGCAATACCAGCGTTTTAACATGCTCACCTCAGCAAAAATTAAAACAGCTCTAATTGGACTGATCTACAAAAAGGTAAAAAACAATTCAAAAAAATTCCCGATTTCCAAATGGACTGCTCCTTTACATGCTCTAAAATAAGGACACTAGGGCCTGCAGATGACATGGTGGTTAAGAAACTGGACCCCAGAGCACTGACTTCACAGTTCAAGTTCCGGATCTGCTGAGGAGATCTGGCATGAAGGAGATTGCCGTGTGACTGTCCCTCTTGGCGCGGGTGGGGGGCTGATTTCTCACCTTCGCTCTCTTTTCCTCTCTTTTTTTCTCTCTTCAGCAAGTGTCCTATGGGGAAAACCTAAAATATGAGGACTAGAAAAATAGAACATAATATAATTTTGTCTACTGTTGTGTTACTTACCCCTCTTTAGAAAGTGAATGAAATGAAATGTTTCATGCTTGTCTATATTTATACATCAAGATAATTTCTTCTTTTCATGGGCATTTTCATTCTACACATTCTCTGTCTTCCCCTTGGTTCACTTTGCTTTTCATACAACAAAGCTATTCTTCTTTACACAGTCGTCATCTGCTCCTCATTCATTCTAAGCCTTGTCCCTCAGTCTTGGCTGGTCCTTATTGCTGGCATAATTTGTCCTTTTTTGAAAATAAAACTTTAAACACGACCTCTTTTTTTTATTTTTAAAGGGGTTTTTGCATTAGGGTGTGTGCATGTGAGAGAGAGACAGTGAGTGGGAAAGTGAGAACTCCCCCCCCACCCCGGAAGGAGACCATGCCACAGTTCCTTCTCCTCCATTCTCTTCCTGGGATCTTGGGCACCCATGCACATGTGCCCAGCAAGTTTCAAGCCACTGGTCTGAGACTTGAATCTTGGTCAGACATGAGGGAATCCGGTGACATAACCATCATGCCGTCTGCCGGCCCATGAACACCACTTCTTGATAATCTAGAGTCTATAATTATAAAAAGTTAAGAGTTTGCTCTCTCTCTCTCTTAGTTTTCAATCACTTATTCAATTTACTGGGATTTTTGGTCTTTGTGCTCTGTAAATCATGGGCTCTTCAGGATTTGGAAAAAAATGTATTTATGTATTGTACATTTATCCTTTAGGACAGTGACGTTTTTGCACATTTTTATAAAAGTTGGATGACTTAAGAGAATGAATGAATAAATGAATCTGCCTTCTAAGAAACTGGGGAGACATATTAGCATACATAATAAATGTGTGGGACTAAATGCAGCTTTTATAAAAGACCAGATAAGCAGGAAATCTACAAGTTACAGACAGTTAGTGAATTTTCACATACAAAGACAGTCTTGAAATAGTCTTTGAGAGAGCTATAGAATTTGTACAAGAGGAAGGAATTATTGCATTAGGTTGTTGGGGAAGTCATGACGTATTTTTCTGTCCAAAAATGAGTTATGACTTTCCTAATGACTATAATTTGGGCTGAGATGAGCATGAAGTCTTACAGGTTATTTCTCCCTGTTGGGGCAAAATGGAGTATGGGTTGGTTTTGGGATCTTGGAATAATGCAGGACCAACTGAGCCAGTAGATGGTAGCCTCACTTGCAGCGAAGTTTAACTTTGTAGAACACAGCCCAAGTAGAGGGTCAGAGAAGCTATCCCATTAATTCTAGAGGCAATATATGCTAAGGATTCCAAATATGGATGAAAGATATGAAAGAATCTATGAATCAGTTTAAATGTGAACACTTTTTTTATTTAATAGGTTCTTATGAAACAGGATTTTGTTTGGTGACCAGAGCATTGGAATCTGGGCATGGGTTGTAGGCAGACTTAAAAGCATCCAAGAGTAAGGTATAAAAGATTGAATTTATAAGCATGAAACATAACCCATATATATACAATTATTATTTGTCATTTAAAATAAAATAAAACTTGAAAAAGTAGACTAATAAGCATAAAAGATAGACACAGAATATTTCTAGGGCAGCGATACCACTTTGTGTGACATAATACTATGATGGTGGGTGGATACATGTCTTTACTCATTTGTTCAAACCCACGAAATGTGCAACACCAAGAGTGAATCCTAATGTAAACCCTGGGCTTTGGGTGATGCTGTTATGTCAATGTAGGTTCATCAGTTGTAATAAATATGCCACTCTGTGGGAGATGTTGATAATGCAGGAGACCAGAGATATTCCCAGAGGATATATGGGAACTCTGTACTTTCCTCTCAGTTTTGCTGTGAACCTAAAATTGCTCTAAGAAATAATCTTTAAATTATAAGCCTCTTTAGAAAGTGAATGAAATGAAATGTTTCATGCTTGTCTATATTTATACATCAAGATAATTTCTTCTTTTCATGGGCATTTTACTTCTACACATTCTCTGTCTTCCCCTTGGTTCACTTTGCTTTTCATACAACAAAGCTATTCTTCTTTACACAGTCGTCATCTGCTCCTCATTCATTCTAAGCCTTGTCCCTCAGTCTTGGCTGGTCCTTATTGCTGGCATAATTTGTCCTTTTTTGAAAATAAAACTTTAAACACGACCTCTTTTTTTTATTTTTAAAGGGGTTTTTGCATTAGGGTGTGTGCATGTGAGAGAGAGACAGTGAGTGGGAAAGTGAGAACTCCCCCCCCACCCCGGAAGGAGACCATGCCACAGTTCCTTCTCCTCCATTCTCTTCCTGGGATCTTGGGCACCCATGCACATGTGCCCAGCAAGTTTCAAGCCACTGGTCTGAGACTTGAATCTTGGTCAGACATGAGGGAATCCGGTGACATAACCATCATGCCGTCTGCCGGCCCATGAACACCACTTCTTGATAATCTAGAGTCTATAATTATAAAAAGTTAAGAGTTTGCTCTCTCTCTCTCTTAGTTTTCAATCACTTATTCAATTTACTGGGATTTTTGGTCTTTGTGCTCTGTAAATCATGGGCTCTTCAGGATTTGGAAAAAAATGTATTTATGTATTGTACATTTATCCTTTAGGACAGTGACGTTTTTGCACATTTTTATAAAAGTTGGATGACTTAAGAGAATGAATGAATAAATGAATCTGCCTTCTAAGAAACTGGGGAGACATATTAGCATACATAATAAATGTGTGGGACTAAATGCAGCTTTTATAAAAGACCAGATAAGCAGGAAATCTACAAGTTACAGACAGTTAGTGAATTTTCACATACAAAGACAGTCTTGAAATAGTCTTTGAGAGAGCTATAGAATTTGTACAAGAGGAAGGAATTATTGCATTAGGTTGTTGGGGAAGTCATGACGTATTTTTCTGTCCAAAAATGAGTTATGACTTTCCTAATGACTATAATTTGGGCTGAGATGAGCATGAAGTCTTACAGGTTATTTCTCCCTGTTGGGGCAAAATGGAGTATGGGTTGGTTTTGGGATCTTGGAATAATGCAGGACCAACTGAGCCAGTAGATGGTAGCCTCACTTGCAGCGAAGTTTAACTTTGTAGAACACAGCCCAAGTAGAGGGTCAGAGAAGCTATCCCATTAATTCTAGAGGCAATATATGCTAAGGATTCCAAATATGGATGAAAGATATGAAAGAATCTATGAATCAGTTTAAATGTGAACACTTTTTTTATTTAATAGGTTCTTATGAAACAGGATTTTGTTTGGTGACCAGAGCATTGGAATCTGGGCATGGGTTGTAGGCAGACTTAAAAGCATCCAAGAGTAAGGTATAAAAGATTGAATTTATAAGCATGAAACATAACCCATATATATACAATTATTATTTGTCATTTAAAATAAAATAAAACTTGAAAAAGTAGACTAATAAGCATAAAAGATAGACAGAATATTTCTAGGGCAGCGATACCACTTTGTGTGACATAATACTATGATGGTGGGTGGATACATGTCTTTACTCATTTGTTCAAACCCACGAAATGTGCAACACCAAGAGTGAATCCTAATGTAAACCCTGTCTAAGAAACTGGGGAGACATATTAGCATACATAATAAATGTGTGGGACTAAATGCAGCTTTTATAAAAGACCAGATAAGCAGGAAATCTACAAGTTACAGACAGTTAGTGAATTTTCACATACAAAGACAGTCTTGAAATAGTCTTTGAGAGAGCTATAGAATTTGTACAAGAGGAAGGAATTATTGCATTAGGTTGTTGGGGAAGTCATGACGTATTTTTCTGTCCAAAAATGAGTTATGACTTTCCTAATGACTATAATTTGGGCTGAGATGAGCATGAAGTCTTACAGGTTATTTCTCCCTGTTGGGGCAAAATGGAGTATGGGTTGGTTTTGGGATCTTGGAATAATGCAGGACCAACTGAGCCAGTAGATGGTAGCCTCACTTGCAGCGAAGTTTAACTTTGTAGAACACAGCCCAAGTAGAGGGTCAGAGAAGCTATCCCATTAATTCTAGAGGCAATATATGCTAAGGATTCCAAATATGGATGAAAGATATGAAAGAATCTATGAATCAGTTTAAATGTGAACACTTTTTTTATTTAATAGGTTCTTATGAAACAGGATTTTGTTTGGTGACCAGAGCATTGGAATCTGGGCATGGGTTGTAGGCAGACTTAAAAGCATCCAAGAGTAAGGTATAAAAGATTGAATTTATAAGCATGAAACATAACCCATATATATACAATTATTATTTGTCATTTAAAATAAAATAAAACTTGAAAAAGTAGACTAATAAGCATAAAAGATAGACACAGAATATTTCTAGGGCAGCGATACCACTTTGTGTGACATAATACTATGATGGTGGGTGGATACATGTCTTTACTCATTTGTTCAAACCCACGAAATGTGCAACACCAAGAGTGAATCCTAATGTAAACCCTGGGCTTTGGGTGATGCTGTTATGTCAATGTAGGTTCATCAGTTGTAATAAATATGCCACTCTGTGGGAGATGTTGATAATGCAGGAGACCAGAGATATTCCCAGAGGATATATGGGAACTCTGTACTTTCCTCTCAGTTTTGCTGTGAACCTAAAATTGCTCTAAGAAATAATCTTTAAATTATAAGGGGGGGGGGGAAGCAGGAATTGAACTTCAGTAGAAATCAGAACATGCCATCCAAA